TCTCTCTTGAATTGTGGTGCCCAGAATTGGACACAATATTCCAGGTGTGGTCTAACCAGAGCATAATAGAGGGGTAGCATTACTTCCCTAGATCTAAACACTATGCTTTATTAATGCAGGCCAAAATCCCATTGGCTTTTTTTGCCGCCACATCACATTGTTGGCTCATGTTTAACTTGTTGTCCACGAGGACTCCAAGATCTTTTCCACACGTCCTGCTCTCGAGCCAGGCATTGTCCCCCATTTTGTATCTTTGCATTTCGTTTTTCTTGCCAAAGTGGAGTATCTTGCATTTGTCACTGTTAAACTTCATTTGTTATGTTAAGTATGTTAAGAAAATAGTATGTTAGATGAATTCTTGCACATTAATAAAAGCTTAATTTCTTATTCAAGAAAGATAATAGTCCCACTACATTCTGGCGTAGTGTCTTCGGTTTTGGGTTCCTCATTTTAAGAAGGATATGTAGCAGGTTTAGAAGTGGGCAACAAGGATGAGAAGAGGCATGGAGACCAAGGCATATGCAGAAAGGTTGAAGGTGCTGGGAATGCTGAGCCTGGTGAAGAGAAAACGGAGTGTCCCAACAGCCATGTCTGGCCTCAAAGGGAGAGAAAAGAGTAGGCAGTATCTATGGACTTAATCCCCTCCTCACTGCCATTCCTGTTTTCTTTCCTTCCATGTCTAATTTAGATAATAGGCCTGAGGGCAAGATGCTGTCAAATTAAAAATTTGTTAGCCATTCTGAGCGCTTTAATGGCTGAAGAGTGAGAGATAAATACTCTAAATAAATAAATAATGTTTTTTAAGTTACAAAAGGATTGATTTCAACCAAAAAAAATGACTATACGAGTGGTTTGGCAATTGAAGCAGTTGTGTAGAGAGGCAAAAGAGTCTCTTTCTCTAGATGTCTGCAGAAGAGGCTGGACAGCTATCTGATGGTGATGGTATCTGGAGAACTTTCACCGAGTAGAAAACCAGACTCAACCGCCCAACAGGCCCATTCTGGCTCTATGATTCCAGGATACTAGTACAATTCCACTCATTCTTGGGTTGTTGTAGGTTTTTTCGGGCTATATGGCCATGTTCTATAGGCATTATCTCCTGAGTTTCGCCTGCATCTATAGCAAGCATCCTCAGAGGTAGTGAGGTCTATTGGAACTAGGAAAAAAAAGTTTATATATATGTGGAATGACCAGGGTGGGAGAAAGGACTCTTGTCTGCTAGAGCTAGATGTGAATGTTTCAACTGACCACCTTGATTAGCATTTGATGGCCTGGCAGTGCCTGGAGCAATCTTTTGTTGANTGACCACCTTGATTAGCATTTGATTGCCTGGCAGTGCCTGGAGCAATCTTTTGTTGGCAACATTCATTGTCAAATAGATGAAAAGTTCTTTCTCCCACCCTGGACATTATTCCACACACACACACACACACCACTTGCCTAGTTTCTGACACACCTCACAACCTCTGAGGATACCTGCCATAGATGTGGGTGAAACGTCAGGAGAGAATGCTGCTAGGAAATGGCCATACAGTCTGGAAAACTCACAGAAACCGTGATTCCGGCCATGAAAGCCTTTGACAACACACCTCTCCATTTCTCCTTCCTAGGCTCAAGTGATCTTCCTGAACTGCGGCCACGTCTGCTGCTGCCAGACCTGCTCCGATGCCCTCAGCACCTGCCCGCTGTGCCGCCAGGACATTGTGCACCGGATCCGCATCTTCCACAGCGGTTAGGCGTGGATGGGTCTTCCTTCGGCATTGCATGCCTCCCAGCGATGGAATGGATGGACGGGGCGTCGGGGTGCTGAGGATGGATGGCGCGGTGGGAAGGCATATATATGCGTGGAATTTGCACTACCTCCTTGCTCTTCATAATCGCCTAATGCTTGTTGTCGTCGTCCTCCCCGTCGTGTGTTCACTTGGCATGGCAGCCCCAAGGATGCTTAACCTAGCCAACAAAGGCTTCCCGTTTCATAAAGCTCCCGGAGCTGAATGCGGTGACAAATATATTTGGTACAGGTCCCCAAAGAATGCATGGATGGCCTCCTTTTAGAGGGAGGCGTTCAGTCATTGCTGACTCTGCTTTGACTGTAGGACACAGAAGGCTATGTCTCTCTTTTGCTCTGGGAAGGTGCAATTGCCAGTTACGGGTCGCGGGCTGCTAGCTATCCAGATTATGGCCATCGTTTTGGTGACATTGGATGTTGATGGGCATAGTGCAATACATCTGAGGGAACCTCCTGCTGAAGTAAAGACGAAGCTAAGGCATTTTCAGCTCTGGGTTGCTGTGAGTTTTCCAGGCTGTATGGACATTTTCTCCTGACGTTTCGTCCACATCTATCGCAGGCATCCTCGGAGGTTATGAGGTTCGTTGCAAACTAGGCAAGTGGAATTTAGAATCATAGAGTTGGAAGAGACCTCATGGACCATCCAGTCCAACCCCCTGCCATGAAGCAGGAAAATCAAATTCAAAGCACCCCCGACAGATGGCCATCCAGCCTCTGTTGAAAAGCTTCCAAAGAAGGAGCCTCCACCACTATGTGTAAAGTCCAGGATGGGAGAAATAACTCTTGTCTGTTGGAGGCAAGTGAGAATGTTGCAAATCACCTTGATTAGCATTGCAAAGCCTTGCAGCTTCAAGGCCTGCCTGCTTCCTGCCTGGGGGAATCCTTTGTTGGGAGGTGTTAGCTGGCCCTGATTCATTATTGTCTGGAATTCCCCTGTTTTTTAGTGTTGTTCTTTATTTACTATCCTGATTTTGGAAGGCTGAGAGGAGATATGATAGCCATGTATAAATACATGAGAGGAAGTCACAGGGAGGAGGGAGCAAGCTTGTTTTCTGCTTCCCTGGAGACTAGGATGCGGAACAATGGCTTCAAACTACAAGAAAGGAGATTCCATCTGAACATGAGGAAGAACTTCCTGACTGTGAGAGCCGTTCAATAGTGGAACTCTCTGCCCCAGAGTGTGGTGGAGGCTCCTTCTTTGGAGGTTTTTAAGCAGAGGCTGGATGGCCATCTGTCAAGGGTGCTTTGAATGCAATATTCCTGCTTCTTGGCAGAGGGTTGGACTGGATGGCCCATGAGGTCTCTTCCAACTCTATGATTCTATGATTCTAGTTCTTTAAAACAAACGCTGCCACCATTTAGTTCTTGAATACTGCAAGAATCTGCTTTTAAAACCTTTAAGCACCAAAGCACACTTGAGTCAGATGTAATGAAACATAAACAATGAAGTTTATTTACAAGAACAGGAACAATTCAGGTACAAAGCTTGGCTGTTTCAGAGATTTGTCTTGAAAGCGTGTGGCTACATAAAGCAGAAACTCTTCTTTCTCCCTCCACACAAGAATACCGACAGGAATGCTTCTCTGACAGTAATTCTCCACCAGCGCAGATAGTCCTAACCTGGATCTATCTCTCTGTTTCCCAGCTATCTTCCTAATAGCTGTAACCTCCTCACTAGCTGTTCCTGAACATGCCCTCTTCGGGAAATGAGTGACTAAAATGGATTCTCCTGACACCCTTTCCAAGATGGCTACCGAACTCCTTGGACGAATTGTTTTCCAAGGTTTCTCTCAGCCTAACTGGTAGGGAATTCACTACACCTGACATGGTGGTTGTTCAAGTGGTCCAGCATTTCTGTGTTCTCACATAATATGCTGTGTCCAGGTTGGTTCATCAGGTGCTCTGCTATGGCTGACTTCTCTGGTTGAATTAGTCTGCAGTGCCTTTCATGTTCCTTGATTCATGCCTGGGCAATGCTGTGCTTAGTGGTCCCTATGTAGACTTGTCCACAGCTGCATGAGATACAGGAAACTCCTGTAGAGGTGAGAGGATCCTTCTTGTCCTTTGCTGAATGGAGCATCTGTTGGATTTCCTTGGTGAGTCTGGAGATAGTTTGTAGGTTATGTTACTTCATCAGCTTCCCTCGGCGTTGAATGGTTCCCTTGATGTATGGTAAGAACACTTTTCTTCTGAGTGGATCTTTGTCTTGACTCTCATGGCTTGTTCTTGGCCTTGCGGTTCTTCTGATGTCTATGGTGTCTCCACTTGCCTGTAGAGCCCTTTGCAATGCTAATCAAGGTGATTTGCCACATTCCCACTTGGCTCTAGCAGACAAGTGTTCTTTCTCCCATCCTAGGACTTCAAACCTCACTTACCTAGTTTCCAACAAACCTCACAACCTCTGAGGATGCCTGGGTGAAACGTCAGGAGGGAACGCTTCTGGAACATGGCCAGACAGCCCAGAAAACTCACAGCAACCCAATCCAGATTATGGCCATTGGTTTTTGCCTGTTTTGGTGATGATGGATGTTGACGGACATAGTGCAATACATCTGGAGGAACCTCCCACTGATGTAAACACGAGGCCAAAGCATTTCCAGCTCTGTTTACTAGACTAGAATAGGAGTGTCAATGATGGGTGTCAATGGGCATAGTGTGATACATCTGGGATAACCTCCCTCTGATGTAAAGATGAAGCCAAGGCATTTCCAGCTCTGTTTACTAGGCCTGAATAGCAGTATCAATGATGGCTATCAATGGGCATAATGCGATACATCTGGAGGAATCTCCCACTGATGTAAACCTGAGGCCAAGGCATTTCCAGCCCTGTTTACTAGACCAGAATAGCAATATCAATTATGGATGTCGATGGGCATAGTGCAATACATCTGGAGGAACCTCCCAGTGATGTAAACACGAGGCCAATGCATTTCCAGACGTGTTTACTAGACCAGAATAGGAGTGTCAACGATGGATGTCAATGGGCATAGTGCGATACATCTGGGGGAACCTACTACTGATGTAAACACAAGGCCAAGACATTTCCAGCCCTGTTTACTAGACCAGAATAGGAGTGTCAACAATGGATGTCATTGGGCATAGTGTGATACATCTAGAGGAACCTCCTACTGATGGAAACACGAGGCCCAGGCATTTCCATCCCTGTTTACTAGGCCAGAATAGCAGTACCAACCTCTGTGTCTCAATGAAAGAGAGGTATAAGACCTTTTCCAACTCCTGCTCTATCCTTTCCATTAACTAGAGGAGGAAGTACTAGACCAGATATAAGAGGTGTTTTCCCCTCGATGGGTGAAAGATCGGAGCCAATGCTATTAGCCCTGTTTACCGCACTTGCTTATTCCTTTTCCAGGAATGTGTTGAAAAGCTGGCAGATCCAAAAGGCAGTCTCAATCTCAGGGAGGGCCTGCTGAGCATTGTCTGGTTGGATGAAGGCCGATCCACACCCCCCCCCCACACCCTCCCCCCCGTCCTCTTGTTTCTGCCTATCGTGTGGCCTCTTGGTTAATTAGTCAGTAATTGGCCTTTTGTGGTGCCAAGTCAACACAAGAAGGGTGTTGGCTACCCCTTCACCCTGGCAGGTTTCCCGTCAGGAGAAAGTGGACGCGGGGAAAGAAGAGCTCGAACGTGGCTTTGTCCCTCCTGGTGCCAGAAACCCATCTGCTCTTGTCCCAATTTTTGCCTCCTCCCGCCACTGCCCCCGCCACCACGGCAGCGCATGGGATGAGGGAGGCCCAATTGGAGGGGCATTTACAGAGGCGCCTCAACACTAAATGCGCCCCTGGGCAAAAGAACTATACCGCAAAGGCTTACTGTGCGTAATGGATGGACCGTCCCTGCCTCCTGGTGCCAGAAATCTATCTGCTCTTGTCCCAAACTTCTCATCCTCAACTGGAGAGGGTCAAAAGAAGGGGATGATGGAGGCACTCTGAACCAGTGTAGCGTGCTTCTTTTCCATTTCATTCACCTGATTCTGGCCCATAACAGCAGCAACCCTTGAGACCTAGGAATGTACCGGTGTTACTCTCTCCTAGTCATTGGGAATTGGATGCAGATCTTCCCAAAATCTACAATCCAGAGAAGTTTCTCATTCTGGTCCCTTTCTTCTCCTGAGTCTGTTTTGATTTGCCAAATGGTGCAGCCATTTTGCATTTTTTTCCGAGCAGTTGCACATGCCCAAACGACGTATGGCCTTTTCTCAGCCCGCAAATAACAAAGACAAATAACTTCTTGCCTTAAGAATCACTTGGACTTTGTTTCAGAATCTTGTCCACATCGCAGACATCCTGGATTCTAATCTTGGTAGTTGAAATGCTTTCAACTAGGTTCGCTCTCATTGTAATGTCACAGTACTCATGCGCTCCCCAAGATCCCATTTGTTTGTACTGAGAATCTTGGGAATGGTCCGTTTGCGAATCCCCATCAGCCCCCCCTAGAAAATTACAATTCTGAATGTTCTAGGTGAGAGAAAAGGAGCCATAATAAGTCAGATATCGGCATTTACTCTTCTTCCTGTCCACAGCAGAAAAATATCACTCACATTACCGCTATTGCATAAGCCGTTCAGTAACATATACTGCATGGATACGCGTTTCCAAGCGTTGGGCCTCTCATTGTGATCCGTCTCCTATATCCACTACAGAAATAAAGTTACTAAGGTCAAGTGTGTTTCTTTTCCTTTATGTTCCCTCGAGAACAGCAAAGGATGCTTGATGGGTGGTCAAGCATCCTTCATGGGAATGTTCAGTATCAGAAACTAGAGCTGATGTGGTCTATCCAATGCAGTTTTCTTAAACAGCACTCCAAACTGAATCTAAAGTTAACCAAAAACTAATTCGTAATCAGGTTGTTGTAGGTTTTTTCGGGCTATATGGCCATGTTCTAGAGGCATTCCCTCCTCGCTACCTCTGAGGATGCTTGCCATAGATGCAGGCGAAACGTCAGAAGATAATGCCTCTAGAACATGGCCATATAGCCCGAAAAAACCTACAACAACCCAGTGATTCCGGCCATGAAAGCCTTCGACAATAACCACTTTGCTATCTGTCAGCATAGTCAATAGCAGGTCAACCCCACCACATGCCTCTGCTTGCTTTAATCCAGTGGTTCTCAACCTTCCTAATGCTGCGACCCCTTAATATAGTTCCTCATGTGTGATCTCTGATCCATGTGGTCTCTGATAAAGTAGTCTCTGGTTAAAGTGATATCTGATCCATGCGGTCCCTGGTCAAAGTGGTCTCTGATCCATGTGCCCCCTGGTCAAAATGTTTCCTGGTCCATATGGTCCCTAGTCCATTTGGCCCCTGGTCAAAATGTTCCCTGGTCCATGTGATCCCTGGTCCATGTGGTCCCTGGTCAAAATGTTCCCTGGTCCAAGTGGTCCCTGGTCAAAGTGATCTCTGATCCATGTTGTCCCTTGGTCAAAATGTTCCCTGGTCCAAGTGGTCCCTGGTCAAAGTGATCTCTGATCCATGTGGTCCCTGGTCCAAATGTTCCCTGGTCCAAGTGGTCCCTGTTCAAAGTGATCTCTGATCCATGTGCTCCCTGGTCAAAACGTTCCCTGGTCCATGTGGTCCCTGGTCAAAGTGATCTCTGATCCATGTGGTCCCTGGTCCATGTGGTCCCTGGTCCATGTGGTCCCTAGTCCATGTGGTCCCTGGTCAAAATGTTCCCTGGTCCATGTGGTCCCTGGTCAAAGTGGTTTCTGGTCAAAATGTTCCCTGCTCCAAGTGGCCCCTGGTCAAAGTGATCTCTGATCCATGTGGTCCCTGGTCAAAATGTTCCCTGATACATGTGGTCCCTGGTCAAAATGTTCCCTGGTCCAAGTGGTCTCTGGTCAAAGTGATCTCTGATCCATGTGGTCCTTGGTCCAAGTGATCTCTGATCCATGTGGTCTCTGATAAAGTAGTCTCTGGTTAAAGTGATATCTGATCCATGCGGTCCCTGGTCAAAGTGGTCTCTGATCCATGTGCCCCCTGGTCAAAATGTTTCCTGGTCCATATGGTCCCTAGTCCATTTGGCCCCTGGTCAAAATGTTCCCTGGTCCATGTGATCCCTGGTCCATGTGGTCCCTGGTCAAAATGTTCCCTGGTCCAAGTGGTCCCTGGTCAAAGTGATCTCTGATCCATGTTGTCCCTTGGTCAAAATGTTCCCTGGTCCAAGTGGTCCCTGGTCAAAGTGATCTCTGATCCATGTGGTCCCTGGTCCAAATGTTCCCTGGTCCAAGTGGTCCCTGGTCAAAGTGATCTCTGATCCATGTGGTCCCTGGTCCAAATGTTCCCTGGTCCAAGTGGTCCCTGTTCAAAGTGATCTCTGATCCATGTGCTCCCTGGTCAAAACGTTCCCTGGTCCATGTGGTCCCTGGTCAAAGTGATCTCTGATCCATGTGGTCCCTGGTCCATGTGGTCCCTGGTCCATGTGGTCCCTAGTCCATGTGGTCCCTGGTCAAAATGTTCCCTGGTCCATGTGGTCCCTGGTCAAAGTGGTTTCTGGTCAAAATGTTCCCTGCTCCAAGTGGCCCCTGGTCAAAGTGATCTCTGATCCATGTGGTCCCTAGTCCATGTGGTCCCTGGTCAAAATGTTCCCTGATACATGTGGTCCCTGGTCAAAGTGGTCCCTGGTCAAAATGTTCCCTGGTCCAAGTGGTCCCTGGTCAAAGTGATCTCTGATCCATGTGGTCCCTGGTCCAAATGTTCCCTGGTCCAAGTGGTCCCTGTTCAAAGTGATCTCTGATCCATGTGCTCCCTGGTCAAAACGTTCCCTGGTCCATGTGGTCCCTGGTCAAAGTGATCTCTGATCCATGTGGTCCCTGGTCCATGTGGTCCCTGGTCCATGTGGTCCCTAGTCCATGTGGTCCCTGGTCAAAATGTTCCCTGGTCCATGTGGTCCCTGGTCAAAGTGGTTTCTGGTCAAAATGTTCCCTGCTCCAAGTGGCCCCTGGTCAAAGTGATCTCTGATCCATGTGGTCCCTAGTCCATGTGGTCCCTGGTCAAAATGTTCCCTGATACATGTGGTCCCTGGTCAAAGTGGTCCCTGGTCAAAATGTTCCCTGGTCCAAGTGGTCCCTGGTCAAAGTGATCTCTGATCCATGTGGTCCCTGGTCCAAATGTTCCCTGGTCCAAGTGGTCCCTGTTCTGTTTCCTGGTCCAAGTCGTCCCTGGTCAAAGTGATCTCTGATCCATGTGGTCCTTGGTCCAAGTGGTCCCTGGTCAAAGTGGTCTCTGTTCAAAGTGATTTCTGGTCCATGTGGTCCCTGGTCAAACTGGTCCCTGGTTAAGTGGTCCCTGGTTAGAAAAAAGGTTAAGAACCACTGCTCTAAGGATTCTAAAGTCCATTTTTCGGCAAACTATAAGTCACAGCCAGCCTGGATTTCTCGTCTCAGAAGGATCCAGGTATTCCCCTTTCTGTAGACAAAAGTTTGGATGTAAATCTGCCACCAACCCAAGATCTGCTTTAGCTCATTTGCGCCTGATGTTGGGTCATAGTTCGGTAATTCCTCACACCCACCCAAACCAAACACATAAACAGAACACGCCGCCTCCGGTTAACAAGTAATCAATTAAGGACTAAAGTTCAGCCCCTGGGGAGGCGATCCGCCTTTATCTGCCGACCAGAGGCGTACAATTAACACAGCTCTCGCCATTTAGCTTTGGCCAGGAGACCTCAACGATAACTTCCAGATTCGGAGGAGATCTCTTGGCCCTGGAACCACTCCAATCAGAAGAGACAGATCCAAGTCTTTGCCTTGTGGATAGACTGAGATGAAGAGCAAGAAATAGAAAAACAAGGAAAAAAGAAAAAAAGAAGTCCTTTTTCATTCACTTCTTCCTGGCAAGGAAGCATGGCGCTGCTGCCCGTCACCGAAGTCCGAACGGCGGAATGCGGAATCTGCTATGAGTCCTACAAAGAGTCCACCGGCGGGCAGGTGCCCAAACTCTTGTGGTGTTGCCATTCCGTCTGCCTCTCTTGCTTGGGCCATTTGGTGTGCCAGAATGGCACTTTCTCCTTCGTGGTGTGCCCTTTTTGCCGGATGGTGACCCTCATACCCGAAGGAGGTCTTCAGGCCCTGCGGAACGACGAAGCCGTTCTGCAGCAAGTTGTTTCTGGCCAATTGGAAGTCCAAAACGAGCCGGGCAGTGACCGCAACTCTTCCAGGGTTTTTAGTCAGACTCCTGAAAATGACTCAAACGCAGCTTTGGATTTTAATTACAGTTCGGCCATCTTTACCGTCAGTGGTTTCGTTCCAGCCTATGCGACGGCGATCCATCCCGGAGTGGGGATGTGGGGCAGGTTCCGTTTCCAAGAGGTCCGCAACGCTGTGCTGGTGGAGCTCCCCCACAGAGCATCCGGCCAAGACTCGGAGACCCCCACATCCGTGGAGAACCTACGGCTCTGCTTCGCCGTCACCATCATTCTTCTTATTGTCTCCGTCTTCTTTGCCTTGGTCTTCTTGAAGTAGACCTTGGCGATTCAATGACCAGAAGCCCATATTTTCCAACCAACTTAGGGAGGTGGGTATATTTTAGCTTGGAGAAGACAAGACTTACAGGTGACATGTGAACAAACTTTAAATATCTATAGAAATGTCTTGTGGAAGATGGAACGAGAATGTTTTCTGCTGCTCCAGAGACTAGGGCTGTTGTGGATGAGTCTTTTTGACCAGTTGGTCTGTGTTTTGTTTTGGAATACTATTTTGCTGCTGTTAAGCATTTTTGGTTCTTTTGAGCTGTACCTTCATTAAACTGTTGTTATTTTGCACTTGAGACTGACTTTGTGGCGTCTGTACCTTGACAAGGGCACAATGGATTTGTCCGTAATATTAAAAATTAATACTTTTAATATTTTTTATTACAAAAGTGTGAGTCAAGTACTGAAAGAATGAGTAGGCTGAAGCCAATTAGAATTAGTGTCATCCTGAATAGAGTGAGGTAAACCTCTGTGTGAGAGAAGCCTCGCGTGAGAAATCTCCAGTGTAAAGGTGGCTGCATGTAAACCTACTATGGAATAGTGCAATGACAAACTGTAAGGTCTATGGAGTATGATATTAGGTGAAGTCTAGTCGTGTCCAACTCTGGGGGTTGGTGCTTATCTCCATTTCTAAGCCGAAGAACTGGCGTTGTCCCTAGACACCTCCAAGATCATGTGGCCGCCATGACTGCAAATACTAGACAGGTTTGCGGAGAATTCACCATGATGTATAGGAGTTATAGGTACTAGGATGTATAGTTCACCTGCAATCTAGGTGCACTCTGAACTCCACCAGCGATGGACCTGGAACTAACTTGGTACACAGAACCCCCATGACCAACAGAAAATACTAGAGGTCTTTGGAGGGATTTATAGGAGTTGTAGTTCACCCACATCCAGAGTGCACTATGAATGCACACGCACTATGAATGCACGCACAAGGATGAATCTGGACCAAACTTGGCATGCATACCTGATATCCCCAAATTTGAATACTGGAGGGGTTTGAGGAGCATTGGCCTGGACATTTTGGAGTTGTATTGACTGGGATTTATAGTTCACCTGCAATCAATAAGCCTTTGAACTCCACCAAAGATGGAAGTGGACCAAACTTGGCACACAAAGCCCTCATGACCAGCAAAAAATACTGGAGGTCTATGGGGGAAATTCACCTTCATTTGGGGGAGTTGTAGTTCAACTGCAATCAATAAGCCTTTTGAACTCCACCAATGATTAATTGGACCAAACTAGGCACACAAAACACTCATGACCAGCAAAAATTACTGGAGGTCTATGGGGGAAATTCACCTTCATTTGGGGGAGTTGTAGTTCACCTACATCCTGAGAGCACTGTGAACCCAAACACCGATGGATTTGGACTAAACTTGACACACTTGCCTGAGATGCAAAAAAATTGATTACTGGAGGGGTTTAGGGGGAACTGACCTTCCTTTATGGAGTTGTAGTTCACCTAAAAGCAGAGAAACCGACCTCCAATAAAGATGGAATTGGACCAAAGTTGACACAAAACCTATTGGTGGGGTTTCAGTAGACTGACTCACCATAATGGGAATTGTAGTTCACCCTACAGCAAGAGAGCACACCGAACCCCACCCATGATGCATCTAGAGCAAACTTGCCCAACATAGCAAACGTTAAATACCAATGGAATTTCAGGGGGTTAACCTGGCATGATGGGAGTTGTAGTTCACCCACCACCTTCATTGAGAAGATGGGTTTCAAGATGAATATATGAAAAAACTTCTTTTAAAACACGGTGTCAACAGAAGGCACAGTCAGGATGAGTATAATATCCATGTTCACAAAGGACAAGAAGATATTGAAATAGGACTTTAATTGCACTTTTACTGTTCAAGACACAAAATCAGATCTCAGATATCCCATCCGACGGGAGGTGAGGTTAGCGTTGCGAAGGTCTGCTTTCAACGGAAGGTGATCCAAGGCAACCGGGCAGAGGAACGCTCCTCTCTTGGCCTTTGGATTCCCCAGGAAGTTCATTCCACAGAAAGGGATCTCTGCCAAGAGCATCAATTTTGTTCCTTCGCAAAAGCCGAGAAAGAACCTTTCAAGGGGGCCAGCTCCCCATATGTGCTCTCACTGTGCAAGGAGGATGCTTTTGAAACTATTCTCCGATCCCATTGTGCAATCATTAAGACAGAGGGTTCGGAGGCTGAGGAAAAAAGTGTCAATGGGGTATATGGGGTGAAAGCGAGAGACCGACGAGAGAAATCTAGCACCGCAGGGCTTTCATTTCCTCTGTCACACAGGAGGGGGGAATTGCAATCCTTCCCCATCTTTTTCTGTAAAGAGGTGTGAGATGTCTTTGCATAAGTAGTCCAGGGTTAGTAATTGGGGTTGGGGGGGGGGCATGGCAGAGAGATGGAGGGGAGGCTTCCACATGAAACCCTTGCCCCAAAGAGTGCAAGTGACAAGTCTCCGGTCCCAAACGGACAACCCAGGGAGGTCCACAGGAAGAAGAGTCCCAACCATTTTGGTGGCCAATCAAGGACTGCTTTGCCTCTCCGAAGTGTCTTCGTGTGAAGAGCCCAGTCAACCCAACCAGTCCAAGCTGTCGTCGTCGTCATCATCCCCAAAGAGCGGGGTGGGGGGAGGCTGGCCCTTGAAGCTCTGGGAAGGTGGGGGATAAAGAGAGACAGGGCTAGGTCAAGATGATAGGGCACAGACTAAAGCTGAATTATGGGATGGCAAGGACTGGGTTTTGTGATGGAACTAGATGTTTCCACAGCAAGCTGCATGAGTTCACATACCCTAAATCAGTGCTTCTCAACCTTGGGTCACCAGATGTATTTGGCCTACAACTCCCAGAAATCCCAGCCAGTTTACCAGCTGTTAGGATTTATGGGAATTGTAGGCCAAAAACATCTGGGGACCCCAGGTTGAGAACCACTGCCCTAAATGCTCATGTTTAAGAAATGCTAGTCAAAAGATCAACCCAAAAAACCATGGGTCAATGTGACTACTTTATCTGTCTGTCTATCGATCCATCCATCCCTTGATCTAACTCTTAATTTCTCTCTTTCTATCCACCCCTCCCTCCATTTATCCTTCTATCATCCTTCAATCTCTCTCTCTCTCTTTCTCTATCCGCCTTTCCCTCCATCCACCCATTCCTCTATCCATCCCTTGATCTCTCTCTCTCTCTTCATCTATTCATCTCTGTATCCATTCAACCCTCTATCTATCCTTTGAAACCCTTCATTTCTCTCTTTCCAGCCATCTATCCCTCCATCTATTCCTCTAGCTATCCTTCAATCTCTTTCTCTCTCTCCATCCATCCATCCCTCTATCTATCCCTCTATCCGTCCCTTGATCTAACCCTTCATCTCTCTTTCCATCCATCCATCCATCCCTCTATCCATTCTTCAATCTCTTTCTCTCTCTCTCCATCCATCCAACCATCCATCCCTCGATCTAACCCTTCATCTCTCTCTGTTTCTTCCTTCCTTCCTTCCTCCTTCCTTCCTTCCTTCCTTCCTTCCTTCCTTCCTTCCTTCCGTCCGTCTTTCTTTTTCTTCCTTCCATCCATCCCTCCCTCCCTCTTCCCTTCCTTCCATCCTTCTTTCTTTCTTTTCTTCTACCCTTCCCTCCTCCCTTCCTTCCTCTTTTTCTTCCCTTCCTTCCTTCCTTCCTTCCTTCTCCTCCTCTTTCCAATCCATCCAACTTCCCATTATTCAAAATTCCATCCCTCGATCTAAAAACCCTCAAATCCTCCTTTTCTTCTTCCATCCCAATCCCATCCAACATCCCCCTAGTGATGGTCAGCTCATAATTTGTCACTGACAAACCTTTCAATTCTCCTCTCCTCCCATCCAATTCCCCTCCAAATCCAATCCCTCTACTCTTTCTCCTTCCATTCTTCCCTTACTCTCTTCATCTCTCTCTTTCCATCTATTCATCCCTTTATCCATCCTTCAATCTCTCTTTCTCTCGCCATCCATCCATCCATCCATCCATCTCTTTATCCATCCATCCCTCTATCCATTCCTCGATCTAACCCCTCATCTCTCTCCATCCATCTATCTAACCATCCCTCTATCCACCCTTCAATCTCTCTCAATCCATCCCATTATCCATCCATCCCTCTATCTATCCCTCTATCTAACCCTTCATCTCTCTCTTTCCATCCATCTATCCATCCATTCCTCCATCTATTCCTCTATCCATTCTTCAATCTCTCTCTCTCTCTCTCTCTCTCCATCCATCCATCCATCCATCCCTCCATTCCTCTGTTTATCCCTCTATCTAGACATATCAACCCCACTTGCCTAGTTTCCAACAGACCTCACTACCTTTGAGGATGCCTGCCATAGATGTGGGCAAAACATCAGGAGAGAATGCTCCTGGAATATGACCAGACAACCCGGAAAACTCACAGCAACCCAATCTGTATAACGTACAAGTTCAAGGCTTGTACTTTGTTCAAATTCTGTCCTGTCTTCCTTCTTTTCTTGCCTTCCTTCCTGTTTTCCTTCCTTGATTCACCAGCACAGTCTATGAATCTTACTAAGCACAGGTAAGACTTCCCTTCACCCAAAGCACATTCCTCAGCTGGCTGAGCATTTTTTTGCCTTCTTCAAGGATGAGACACTTCATGCAAAACCCAGCTCAGAATTAATGCACAACACACACACACTCCTCACCAATTCTTCCTCTTCCTCCTCTTCCGGTGGCCCTCCTGGTGCAGGTGACTTAGGCGCTGCAGCTTCAAATAAACTATCCTTGTCCTCGAGGAGGGGGCTGGAGGGAACGAGAAGGAAAGGCTAAGGCCAAATTCACTTTATTACCTGCCAAAAATAAGCTGTAATCTACACACATAATAAAAGTGTGTGTGTGGCTGGGGTGTCCACTTACACAGACAACCTCCCCACTTCCACAGTTATAGCTCCCACTACTCAGGGGACACCAATGGCCCTCCCTCCAATGACCCTGCAGGTTATAGTGAGCGTGGTGAACATGTCTAAGAACCCTGCCAATGTCCTCCACCACTTCACTTAGGCGATCCCTCATAGTCCGAGGATGATGGTCCTCCAACTGACTATGATTCTGAACACAAGTATTTGAATATCTGTTCAGACTGGAAAATCCACTTCCATGGAAACCCTGGGCAAATCTTCCTCTTTCCGTCTCAGTGGAAGACAGTTGCAAACCCTCTTTGAATAAAATTTCCTTCCTCTTGGCACGTTTCTCTCTTTTACCCTCCATTTGTGCCTTTTCAAATTCTACAGCACTGCTGGTCAAAGCTGACTCCAGCTGGAGCGCTCAAGGGCCAGGGCTTCCCAGTTCTCAGTGTCTATGCCAGAGTTTTTAAGGTTGGCTTTGAGCCCATCTTTAAATCTCTTTTCCTGTCCTCCAACATTCCATTTTCCGTTCTTGAGTTCGGAGTAGAGCAACTGCTTTGGGAGACGGTGGTCGGGCATCCGGACAACGTGGCCGGTCCAGCGGAGTTGATGGCGGAGGACCATCGCTTCAATGCTGGTGGTCTTTGCTTCTTCCAGCACGCTGACATTTGTCCGCTTGTCTTCCCAAGAGATTTGCAGGATTTTCCAGAGGCAGCGCTGATGGAATCGTTCCAGGAGTTGCATGTGATGTCTGTAGACAGTCCACATTGCAGGGTTGGGAGGACAATAGCTTTATAAACAAGCCCCTTGGTCTCCCTACGGATGTCCCGGTCCTCAAACACTCTCGGCTTCATTTGGAAAAATGCTGCACTCGCAGAGCTCAGGCGGTGTTGTATTTCAGTGTCAATGTTGACTTTTGTGGAGAGGTGGCTGCCAAGGTAGAGGAAATGGTCCACATTTTCTAATGTTACACCATTAAGCTGTATTTCTGGCATTGGAGAGGGATTGGCTGGTGACTGCTGGAAGAGCACTTTGGTTTTCTCAATGTTCAATGAGAGGCCGAGCTTCTCATATGCTTCTGCAAAGGTGTTTAGAGTGGCTTGTAGGTCTTCTTCTGAATGTGCACAGACGACAAATCCTCCACCAAGACCCCACTGCCCACCACCTACGAGGACGATTTCATTCTAGATTTTCCTCCACCACAGACATCCCAGTGTTTCTGACTCTCTCCATTGTTGTGAAATTTGCATGACCCCGCCCACTACCTCTCCCATAACCCTTTCCTATTCTTTTCTATGGCACACAAGCAAACAGAGGAATTGATCAGCAACTGAAGAGAGGTTTGGGGAGAATACCCCATGATTTATAGGAGTTGTAGGTCTGAGAACCCAAACACCGATGGATCTGAACCAAACTTGGCACACAGACCTGAAATGCTGAAAATTTATTACTGGGGGAGTTTGTGGGGGGAGGGAGGGAGAACGAACTGACCTTCCTTTCTGGGAGTTGGAGTTCACCCACAACCAGGGAAATTGTGACCTCCACCGATGATGGACCTGGACCAAACTTGGCACACAGAACCCCTATGACTAAGTCAACCTACTGAAGGGGTTTCTGGGGACTGGCTCACCATAATGCGAGTTGTAGTTCACATTACAGCCAGAGAGTGCACTGAACCCCACCGATGATGCATCTAGAGCAAGATTGCCCAACATAACAAACTTTAAGCGCTGATGGAGTTTCTGGGGGTTAACCTGGCATGATGGGAGTTATATTTCACCCACAAACTTATGCATTTGGTACAATTAAAAATGACTTTTTAAATTGTAATGAATAAATAACAAAAAAATAAATCTGTAAGGCAGGAATGAATTCTGGTGTTGAGCCATTTGCTACTTGCATGTCTCACTATCAACGTGAACATCAGACACAATCAGGCTGAACAGACTGACATACAACTGTATTAAAGACATTGAATGTTTGTCTATCTGTGTATGTTGTAATCTGCTCTGAGTCCCCTCAAGGAGACAGAGCAGAATATAAATTATTATTATTATTATTATTATTATTAGGACACACAGGACATACAGGTATACAATGTGATTCTCAACTCATGGAGGGAGATTAACCCTGAGCTACAGGCATAGTATCCTTGCCTATACTCACCTGGAATCCACTTGGGTTGGACCGGATACTGACGTTTGCTCCTCTCTGGCTGAGTCTGGTTTGCTGGATGGAGGAGGAGCAAAGGTAAGGGGCTTCTGGCTTAGAATATCTGGACAACTCTCTTCTTCTCCGTCCTGGACTATCGTAGGTGGTTTCTCCTCAGCTTCTACCTTTGGAAGCTCTGGAAAAGCAATGGCAGTGTCTACTGTGTTAGTTTTATCCTCAGTGTCCACTGAGTTCCTTGCCTTCTCCTCTTCCTTTCCCTCAGTGACGTCCAGGCTCAGAGAAGATGTTATGGTTGGATCCAAAGGCAATGGAGGCTGCTCATCATGTGTTTCCAAGGCTGAAGATGTCACTCTGGCTTGGCTGTCGTCTGGCAAAGGACTATCACTTGTAGGCATGGAAGATTCTCCTGCTGTTGAGTCATGAGGAGTGTCGTCCTGGAGCACGGCTGGGCTTGACGTTACGGGATCCGGCCCTTCTTCTTCACCACTAGACTCATCCTTCTCCTCTTGTCTCTCTAAGAGCTGCAAAGTTATGGTCTGGAGTGGAGAAAAAAGGACAAAAAGGAGTTGTTGCTCTGCGCCTTGAAAGAGATTCTGTCTAATGACAAACCTCTCTTAGGGCTTTCTTGGCCTAGGTTTATCCAGTCTGCTGCTGACGTCCCCAAAGACCACAACGTGACAATCCATCGAGGGAGACTGAGACAGTGTCACTTATCCAAAGTCAGCAGAATTCTAAGTCCAACATTCAAACTGGTGCACCACTTAACTACGCATTCCCTTCTTATGCTAATCCAAAACCAAACTTCAGGACTTATGGCTAAGGAAGATACTTAGAAGATACTTAGAAGTACACAAGCCATAACTGGCTGAGATTCCCAGAGTGCTTAGCAACTTCTCTTTTCCCCTTCTGGGACTGTCGAGAATAAACTGCATGAACAGGAGAATAAACTGTAAGCAAATGGGGTTAATCTGCTCAGCATGCACAAAGATGACAGCATTTCTCTACCTTGATGGTGTTCATGACGATGCCAAGGACCTCTCTGCCGGTATAGGACTCCTCCAACTCGAATTCGCACCGCAGGGATTGGAACACCCCGTTCATGATCTTCTTCACCTGTGGAGAAGATGGCCACGTGGTAAAGAGGAATACTGACACAGCAATGGGCTGTGAAAGTACTGCTTTGGTGGGAAGGTGCCTGTGCAGCCATGCCAACAAGACTGGCTTGGAAATCGAAAAAGAGCTCCTTTTCATGGCCAGAGTTAAGCCCTGGCTCCAGAAAGCTGGAGATGAAAGGGGAAACCTTTGTTCCATGTATCTGTATGTCATTGTTATTCCACTGTTGTCATACACCAGAACAGGAACACCTCTGACTTTAAACACTACACCAGCTTGGTAAAATTAGCAAGCAGTTTATTGTAGAATATGTGTAGGCAAAGGAGTAAAAAGTAGCAAAACAGTTAAAGTTCAATATCCAAAATGGTCCATCAGCTTCAAAGGGAAACAAGATCAAAGAATGCACAGAAATCCATGGAACTAGGCACTTGAAACCATGGAACAAAAGAGCAGGAAAATCCCATAGGCAAAATGCAAGCTTGGCAAAAAGTTGGTACATGAAACTCAGAGCATTTGAAACCAAGACCGTGATAAAATAACGTTGCCTCAACTGAAGCAATTCACTCCCATGAATCATTATAAACCTTTTCCAGAACCCAAAACCGACAAGAAAGCATTCTTCATGATCTTCCCACTAGATAATAGTTTATTATCTTTCTTTTGTTGTAGACAAAGTGATCGCTTCAGTCTCTGAAAGCTCTACCTGTTTACTAAAATTTTGCTTTCTGTCCATGGTTTCACTATCTTCGCCCTCATTAACCTCTAAACCTGGCAAACCAATCTCAACAACATTTTCAGGCAGTTGGTACATGATACTCAGAGCATTTGAAACCAAGACCATGATAAAATAACATTGCCTCAACTGAAGCAATTTACTCCCATGAATCATTATAAAGCTTTTCCAGAACCCAAAACCGACAAGAAAGCATTCTTCATGATCTTCCCACTAGATAATAGTTTATTATCTTTCTTTTGTTGTAGACAAAGTGATCGCTTCAGTCTCTGAAAGCTCTACCTGTTTACTAAAATTTTGCTTTCTGTCCATGGTTTCACTATCTTCGCCCTCATTAACCTCTAAACCTGGCAAACCAATCTCAACAACATTTTCAGGGCAGTTGCTCTGAGAAAAGAGGAATGTGGCCTTGGGAATCTTCCTGAAACAACTCAGGCGTCTCTTCTGAACTTAATTCAGGCCCAAGCAAGTCATCATCCCCAGACCCATCTTCAGGAACACCATTCCCATTCACATCATGAACATCAACGTGAACATCAGACACAATCACAGGCTGAACAGGCTGACATACAACAACTGTATTAAAGGCATTGAATGTTTTCCTATCTATGTATGTTGTAATGTGCTCTGAGTCCCCTCGAGGAGATAGAGCAGAATATAAATAATAATAATAATTATTATTATTATTATTATTATGGGATAACAGGATTTTTTTTTTATATTCTGATATTATTGGATTATGGCTCCTGTATGCCATAAGTAGCATTGCCAACTCTGGAGGGTTACAACATTCACCGAGATCCTTTCCGCCTCAAGACAAGTGTCAGGACCCTTCCCTGGCTCTATTCAGATGGGAAAGGGGGGGGGGGGGACAGAGGGAGCGAAGACAGAAGGGAGCAGAAGACACTTCCATCTTGTCTTTGCTAATAATATAATATAGTATATTGTATATACATATAATATTTATAATATTATAATGTAATACAATAAAATACTATAATACTAATATGATATTATAATTATATATTTTACATTACATGTAATATCACTAATAATATGACAATATAATGGTATCGTACAATATAGTAATATATAATACTGATATTGTGCTATGCTAATAATATAATATATTGTATGTATATATACCTTGTAAGGTGCTCTGAGTCCCCTTCGGGGTGAGAAGGGTGGCATATAAGCGCCGTAAATAAATAAATAAATATTTCTGAAATTGCAGAAAGGGACTCACCTCTTCAACGGAGCCGGCAGGTGATTGGCGGCCAGCCCCCTTCTCAAGTGCCTGGATTCGCTCTTCATAGCGCTCTTTCAGAGATGCTATTTGGGACTGGAGGGCCAAATACTGGTTTGCAAGCAGCAGATGCAGACAAAAATAAAGGTAGTTAGTATGAGAAGGTCTCCAGATGATACACTTCTGGCTGGAAGGTTTATGAAGTCATTCAAAATCTCAAATAGAACTCTTACAGGCATGTTAATATGTGCGTTTATGGAACTGTGCTTTAACATATGCATTCCATCGTATGACAATGCATGTGCTTGAAATGTGTTGTGACCTGCCTCAAGCTGTGAGGAGGGGAGGGTAACAAAATTATAGAATCCTAGAATTGGAAGGGACCTCTAAAGATAATCTACATGAGGCATGGACAAACCTTTTGACTTGGGGGCACATAGTGGGCCGGAGTGGGGTGGGCGGTCTGGGAAGGAGGGGCCTCTTTCCAAGCCCTTTCCTCCCCTTCCTGTTCTCTTTCAGAGGCAGAAAGGGAAGGAAAGATGGGAAATGTTTGGATCCCAAAAGAGTTGGCCTTGATGAGGATGAGATGGTGGACAGGAGCGAAAAAGTGTATCCATGAGACCCCTTATTGCCTCCTCCCGAGATAGAATCGTAGAGCTGGAAGAGATCCCCAAGGGCCATCTAGCCCAACCCCCTGCCATGCAGGAAGGCACAATCAAAGCACTCCCGATAGACAGCTGAAAAGCCTCCAGAGAAGGAGACTCCACCACACTCCGAGGCAGCCTTGACTACTCTCCAGGAAGTTCTTCCTACTCTTTTCAGTTGAATCTCTTTCCCTTCCATGTGAACCCATTGCTCCCTTGTGCCCTGGTCTCTAGAGCAGCAGAAAGTCCGTTTTCGCCTTCCCTCTTCCTCCTCCTCAATGGGACACCCTTTGAAATCTTGAAACATGGTTCTCATGTTCCCTTTCTACCTTCTCTTCTCCCAGCTAAACATCCCCCAGGAGGAAAGAAGGAAGGAAAAAGAGAAGGAAGGGAGGGAAGGAAGGAAGGAAGGAAAGAAGGAGAAAGAGGGAAGGAGGGAGGGAGGGAAGAAAGGAAGGAGAAAGAAGGAAGGGGAAGGGAAGGAAGGAGGGAGAAAAAAGGGAGGAAAGAAGGAGGGAGGAAGGGAAGGGAGGAAGAAAAGAGAGAAGGAAAGAAAGGAAGGGGAGGAAGGAAGGAAAAAGAAAAAGAGAGGGGGAAGGAGGGAGGAAAGAGGAAAGAGAAGAAAAAGAGGAAGAGAAAGGAAGGTGGAAGGGAGGAGAGGGAGGAAAGAGAGAAGGAAGGTAAGACAAAAGGGAAGGAGGGAGGGGAAAGAAGAGAGAGAGAAGGAGGGAGGAAGGAGAGAAAGGGAAAAGAAGGAGGAAGGAAGAAGAGGAAAGAAGAGAAAGGAAGAAAAGGAAGGAAGAGAAGGATGGAAAGGAAGGAAGGAGTGGAAGGGAAAGGAAGGAGGGAAAGACAAAAGGGAAGGAAAGAAGGAAGAAAGAGAGAGAAGGAGGAGAGGAAAGAGGGAAGGGAAGGACAAAAGATGGAAGAAGGAAGAGGGAGGGAGGGAGGAAGAAAGACAGAAGGAAGGAAGGACAGGATGGTGTGTGAGAGAGGAGGGCCTGAGAAAAGAGCACAATGTTCTACCAAGACCTGTTTCGTAGGAGATGAGAAGGGCAATCCTACTGACCTTGGCTTTTACAGACTCTAGTTGTTCCACTTGCTCTTGCAAAGTCAACAGTTTCTCGTCCTCCAAACTCCGGGTTGCTTTGAGCTGGGAGATCTAGAGTGAAAGACAAAGTTGAGTTTTCGAACCCATGTGTTATGCTTTCAGGTTTCAGTTTTGGTCTCTGGAGAGAAGAAGGGCCTCTTACCTTCTCTTCCAACTGGGAGACCATCTGCTGCTGAGCGTCGCGCTGTTCGCACACTTCCCGATACTGCCGCGCATGTTGCTCTTTGGCAGCGCTGAGCAGGCGCTCGCATTTGGCTTCCCACTGCGACTCCAGCTCCGTCTGCATCGAGGCCATCTTCCATTTCCCCCCAGAGAGACACAAAAGAGGAAAGGCCCATTAATTTTTTGTATTGTCAAAGGCTTTCACGGCCTGGGGCATTGTGTGGTTTCCGGGCTGTTTGGTCAATGTGTTCTCAACTGTGGCTGGCATCTTCAGAGGATCTGATGGTGGTAAAGCAAGTATATATATCTGTGGAATAATGTCTAAGGTGGGAGAAAGAACCAATGTCTATTAACCAAGTGTGAAGGGTGCAATTAGCAAGCCTGAATTGCAAGTGTTTGAGCGGGATTTCTTTTTTGATGCTCCAGTGACTAGTGATGGGCAACCTTTTGAGCTTGGTGTGTCAAAATTTGCCAAAAACCTGATCATAACTTGGGTGAGGTGTCAACTTTGAGAAAAAAAACCCCATAATTTTGCAATATTTATAGTTTAAGAAAAATGTATATTCCATGCTGAGTTGTGGAGTGAACAATGCTCAAATGTGCAGTTGTTAAATTTGTAGAGCCTTTTACAAATTTAAGGATGGAATTAGATTGGCTCTTATAAGGTGTACTTCTATGTATGCGGCCGCATGTGGCCGCGTGTCATCAAAAATAGCCATGCGTGTCAGTGCTGACACGCGTGTCATAGGTTCACCATCACGGGACTAGAACATAATAGAGCAGTGGATTAAAGCTGCAGGAAAAAAAACAAGATTCCATCTCAACGTTAGGAAGAACTTCCTGAAGGTAAGAGCTCTTCGAGAGTGGAAGATGCTCCTGCCTTGGAGTTCAGAGTCTCCTTCTCTGGAGGTTTTTGTCAACAGAGCAAGGATGGCTATCTGTAAGGAAGGCTTGGGTGGTGTCTTCCTGCCTGGCAAAATGTGGACTGGATTGGCCCTTGGGGTCACTATGATTCTATCTCAGGCACTTTGGGATTTCTCAAGGAATACAGATGGGTCTCCTTATGAAAGAGCAGACCAGTGTTATTTCACCTGCTCCGAAGCCGCCTGGTCAGTTGACGTCCGACCCTTTTTCAGAAGCTGCCGGAGTTTGTCCAACTCCTCCTGGCATGATTTGCGGATCTCATCCATCTCTTCTTCGGCCTGCTGCCTTTCCGCTAAGGATTTCTTTTTCCTCTCAGACAGATTCTGAAGCAGAATTGGGGGGAAAGATGAGAGAGAACCAAGTTAGGATGGCAGACTCCTCCACGATTTACAAAACATCACTGCAAAGGATGGAGTGAGGGTGCCTTCTTTGCTCCAAAGGGATGCAAATGATGTAACATGGGCACAAAAAGAGGGCAGAAGGGTCGGCGCAGCGATTCTAATGCCCTCCTTTCTTCCCCATCTTATATGTGTCACTTTGGAAGAAAAAGAAAAGAATTCATAGGGGAAAAACTTAATATATATATATTTTGGACTCACCTTCTCTAGGTTCTCTTTCTCCGCACGGAGGTCAGTTAGCTCTTCCTCCAAAGCCGATACCTTTCCATTCAGCTGCTTGCGGCTCTGCTTCTCCACTTGGAATTTGCTCTTAGTGTCTTCCGACAATTCCTGGAGCTCTGCAAAGGGCATGGTTGTTGTTCTTGTTATTATTATAATAATAGTGTTTATTTACCTTCCACTTTATTTATATATTTGTTGTTGTTGTTATAATAATATTTATTTACCTTCACCTCGGGAGTGAGAAGGGCGGGTTACAAATAAAATTCTCAATAATCTATGCACACAATAAAAGTGAAAATATGTATGTGTGCGTGTGGCTGGGGTGTCCACTTACACAGACCAGCTCCAACTTCCACAAACAGCTATTAGTCAATTTCATTTGGAAAGGCCGTACCTTGGGAAGTCTGACTTGGCCACGGTAGTCCACGCTCTTGTCACATCCCGCCTAGACTACTGCAACGCTCTCTACGTGGGGCTGCCCCTGAAGACGGCCCGGAAGCTGCAATTAGTCCAACGCGCGGCAGCCATGATTCTAACAGGAGCGGAGCGCAGGGAGCACACAACCCCCCTGTTGCACCAGCTCCACTGGCTGCCGATTTGCTACCGGGCCAATTCAAGGTGTTGGTATTGGCCTATAAAGCCCTAAACGGTTCCGGCCCAAGATACCTAGCTGACCGCATCTCGGCCTATGAACCCACCCGGACTTTGAGATCTTCCGGGGAGGCCCTGCTCTCGATCCCGCCAGCCTCTCAAGCACGGTTGGCGGGGACGAGAGATAGGGCCTTCTCGGTGGTGGCTCCTCGGCTGTGGAACGCCCTTCCTGTAGACGTTAGGCTGGCACCATCTCTCATGACATTCCGTAGAAAGCTGAAGACCTGGATGTTTGTGCAGGCGTTTGAGTAATTCAGTGCAATTTTGGTAATTTGAACATAGGAACGGAACAATGGACGACGAATTTGGATTACGCTTGGATGATGAGGCGATTAGGGAGGGGATTGTGATATCTGTGTATTGATGATTGCTTATTAGTGATTAAGGGAAATGCGTAATTTAACTGTTACTGTATATTAATTACTGTTGTTTTTATTGTCTTTGCTGTTTGGAAACCGCTGTGAGTCGCCCTCGGGCTTGAGATACAGCGGTATACAAGAATAGTAAATAAATAAATAAATAAATAAACAAATAAGCCAGAATTGCTTATAGGAACCTTATTGATAGGAAAGACAGAGGGGGCTTGGCTCTGCCAGACCTCAGATACTATTATGAAGCAGCCAACTTTAGTTGGCTAAAGGATTGGATCAGACTGGAAAATAAGGAACTGCTTAACTTAGAAGGACATAATCTAAGATATGGATGGCATGCCTATCTATGGGATGAAAAGGACAGGGTGAATAAAGAATTCAATAGACATATAATAAGAGCCAGCCTTTTGGCAACGTGGAAAAGGTACAAGAGGGGATAGAGCCAAAAATCCCCTTATGGTTGCATCCACTGGAAGCTGTGCAGAGACTGGCCACACATACTGAATCTAGAACTTATGAAGAATATTTAGTTAAAGAGAAAGGGCAATGGACACTTAAAGGTAGAGAAGAATTGGGGATAAAAGATTGGTTTTGCTTCTTTCAATTGCATGATAGATTTAGGAAGGACGTAAAGGTAGGAATTGCCTCTAAAAAGTCAGAGATTAATGGCTAAAATAGAGAAAACAGGACAAGGAACTTGCTGGAGATGCAAAAAGGCGAAGGGTTCATTTTTCCATGTATGGTGGACGTGTAATATAATTAAAGAATTTTGGGAAAAAGTGGTGAAGGAAACAAACAATATGATTAACAAAAAAGTTAAGAAAAACCCGGAAATGTGCCTTTTAGGATTATTTAGAATGCGGATCAGTGCAGGAGATGAAGAAATTTGTCAATATTGCTTTGTTGCGGCAAGACTAATAATAGCCAAAACTTGGAAAGGAGGAAAAGAGTTATCTATTAAAGATTGGAGAGATAAGTTAGCAGACTATATCCAAATGGCCAAGCTGACAAATAGCAGCAGAGGAGGAGATAATGAAGAATTTGCAAATAAATGGAGGCTGGCACTTGGGTATTTGGAAAAGAAGACAAAGGTAAACTTGAAGATTGCCATAAAGGGGATTCAGTGAAAGAAGATATTTGGGTAGTTGTTGTTTAGTAATGCGATCCTGTTTTGAGGGGTTTCGGAGGTCAGGGGGTGGGGTTCACGGGTGGGGGATAGAGGGTTATGTAATGTTAAGGTATAAATAATTGTACAACCAAATCTGATTGTACATATGTTTAATGAGCACTGAATATTGACTCTTTTGTAATTTTTTTGCATATGTTTTCTTTGTTTATTTTTTTCCTTTTGTTCATTTGTTTTGTTTTCTGCATACACTATGAAACAATAAAAATGTATTTTTTTAAAAAACAGCTATTCGTTCTCACTACTCAGGAGACACCAATGGCCCTCCCTCCAATGATATTGCAGGTTATAGAGAGCACCGTAAACACATCCAAGAGCCCTGTCAATGTCTTCTACCAACACCACTTATTTAGCTTCTCTCACCAGCCAACTGTGCCTGTAGCTGGTTGATCTGCGACCCGTGCTTCTCCGACTCTTTCAAGGCTGCGTTCAGCTGGGAGCACAGGTCCATCTCCTTCTTCTGGTGGTCGGTCAGTTCCAGCTGGAGACGGGAAATCTGTGCCGTAGCGGCAGCCAGTTCCTCGGCAACTTTGACCTGGAAGAGGAAAAGAGCAACTGAGGGAATCCCAAGGCACTTACTTTCTCAAAGGGACTGAGAACAGATTGAGGACACATGCAATGGAGCATTGAATGAAACTGAACGCCAACTGATCTTGTGTTTTAATGTGTGTTTTTTAATATGTGCTTTTATAGATGTATTTGATTATGTTGTGCCTCGCTTCAAGCCAAAAGGAGAGATGCGTACCTATTATTATTAATAGGGGAGGCCCTCCTTTCACTCCCACCACCGTCACAAGTACGGTTAGTGGGGACGAGAGAGAGGGCCTTCTCAGTGGTGGCCCCCGCCTCTGAAATGCCCTTCCAAGGGAAATAAGAGAGGCCCCATCCCTCCCCTGCTTTTGTAAGAGCTTGAAGACCTGGTGGTTTCAACAAGCCTTTGAGAATGACCAGTTCTAGTCCAGCCCAAACATTGTTGAATATGGCCTTGCACTCTTTATCTATTACCCTGGTCATCCCGCTAATAGGCCCTGGAAATGAGCAGCCACAGACCCATACCTGCTATTGCCGTTAGCCTGTTATAGCACTGTACTTAATTCCCGGCCCCCTCATATTTTGAGTTTGCACTAGCCTCGGCCCGGCCTTTTTAATTGTTATTAACAGGCAGGATTACTTTTAATATGCATGTGTTACTGTGATAATTTTATGCTTATGTTGTTTTGTTAATTTTATGTCATGCTGTTTACTTTATGTGTTTCGGTGATGTTACTGAGTTACTGATGCCCTGAGTCCCCCTCAGGAAGATAGAGCGGTATATAAATAAAGTTTTATTATATTTATTATATGCTTTTATGGTTGCATTTTAACTATATTTTAGTATGCAGCTTTATAGCTGTATATGACTATGTTATAACCTGCCTTGAGCTGAAAGAAGCAGGCAATAAATAATAATAATAATAATTATTATTATTATTATTAACAATAATAATAATAGTTATTATATGCTTTTATGTTTCTATTTTAACTATGTTTTGATATGCGTCTTTACAGTTGTATCTGACTATGTTATACTCCACCTTGAACTGAGAGGCAGGTAATTTTTTTCCCCCTATCAGGAGCAACTTTCTGGTGTGAGAGAATTGGCCTAGGGGGCGCCCGGATGCTTTAGCATCCTGTGGGAGGCTTCTCTCATGTCCCTGCAAGGGAAGCTGGAGCTGACAGACAGGAGCTCACCCTGTCTCACAACCTCTTAGGATGCCTGCCATAGATGTGGGTGAAACATCAGGAGAGAATGCTTCTGGAACATAGCCAGACAGCCCAGAAAACTCAAGAAGCGGAGAGGCCAGATCAAAAGACAACCTGGCAAAATGGCATGACCTAAAAGAATCCCACACCTTGTGTGACTGTGGAGCAGAACAGACAACTCCACATCTGTATGCTTGTCCGCAATGTTCTGCCTCATGTGCAGAGAAGAAGAATTGTTGGATGTTACAGACAATGCCATTGCTGTTGCCCGTTTTTGGTCAAAAGATATTTAGCCACCTGCGCTCCTTCTATTTATATCAGTTTTATACTAATTTATGCAATGCTTTTGATACGAAATAATGTGTGTGTGTGTGTGTGTATGTGTGTATATATATATATATATATATAAACTATGTTATGCCCCACCTCAAACTGAGAGGCAGATAAATAATAATAATAATAATTAATAATTTTATTATGCTTTCTGGTGATATTAGACAAATACAGTGGCCAGTTGTAGATCAAAGGTTTTAACCAACCGGAGATTCAAACTATTCAGGATCTAATATTCTTAGTGCTTTTTACCACTACCACTTCTGGTCACTTCTGAAGTGGTGGTGGTAAAAAGCAGTAAGAATATCAAGAAATTTAAGAAATATTTCTTAAATCAAGAAATAGTTTTCTAAGATCTACAGAGACACTCGCTGGAACACCTCAGCAAGCAAGAGTCCAAAAGTGGCAGGCTCAAACCCAGAACCTCAATCAATGGCTGATACCAAATGAGAGACTCCCCCCTGGGCACACAGAAAACTGGGCGACTTGGAAGGCGCTGAACAGACTGCGCTCTGGCACCACGAGATGCAGAGCCAACCTTCAGAAATGGGGCCACAAAGTGGAATCCACGACATGAGAGTGTGGAGAAGAGCAAACCACAGACCACCTGCTGCAATGCAACCTGAGCCCTGCCACATGCACAAGGGAGGACCTCCTTGCGGCAACTCCAGAGGCACTCCAAGTGGCCAGATACTGGTCAAATGAGATTTAATCAACTAACAAGCTTGCAAACTTTGTGTTTTGTTTGTTTGTTTGTTAAAAATGCAATACAACTGTTTTGGTTTGCTCCTGACACGATAAATAAAAAAATAAACCACCACCACTGCTGCCCTGTGTCATTTCATTAATACGGACTTCATCAATAGTGCTGCTCCATGCAGTCATGCTGGCCACATGACCTTGGAGGTGTCTACGGACAACGCCGGCTCATCGGCCTAGAAATGGAGATGAGCACCAACCCCCTAGAGTCGGACACGAATGGACTAAATGTCAGAGGAAAACCTTTGCCTTTACATCAATAGCATTTTGTGGCACCCTGGAAACAAACCCCTCTGGCCTGGAAGGATAATTCAGTAAGAAGACGAAAGAGAGAGGATTCCAGCTTATCTGGATGTCCGAAAAGAGCGCCTCACCTGATCCCATCGTTGCTCCAGTGGCAGCGTGGGCTGGGGAGAAAAGCAGCGACAGGAAAGGAAAGTTGGCACAGCCGTCAGCAAAAGAAAGAGGAGAAAGAGAGGGAAAATAAGCAAAGGAGAAAAGATGGCAGCCTGCATCGAGGAACAGAATATTCTACAGTCCAGGAGTTTGGCACACAAATTGTGAAACCCAGGCGCTTTGGTTCTCCACACATTTCAGATCCCAAATCAAAGGGTGGCCGTGATCCTGGATAGAAACCAGGGCCTGGAAAACTCTTTAAATACACTGAAATACCATCAAAGTAACTTCTTCCAACTCTGGTTTGAATGCAAGAATGGGAATCTTGGGCTGGCTCTCAATCTTTTGCATTGTGTGTATTGCCTGAATTTACCTTCTCCTGCTCGGCGTGCAAAACCCGTGCCTGCCTTTCTTCGGTGTTCAGTTGCAGCGAGTTGTTGCGCTGCTCCATCAACAGATTGCTCTGCTCCACGTACCTGGAAATGGGTAGATAACAGGCTTATGGGGCAAGAGAGTTAAGGGATAGAAGCAACTGGTCCAAGAGTGTGAAGTTATGCCCATCTGGACTCAGGTTGTACTACATTATAATTACAATACAACTAGCTTGGGGACCCGGCGATGCCCGGGTTTTTAGAAGAAGCCATTGTTTGTTTTGAGATGTTAAGTTTGGTCCAGATCCATCATTGGCTGGGTTCAGTGCTCTCTGGATAAGGGTGAACTACAACTCCTAGGTTCCCAGGGCAATCACCCCCAAACCCTGTCAATATTCACAGTTGGCCATGTTGGGTCTGTGGGCCAAATTTGCTCCAGATCCATCATTGGCTGGGTTCAGTGCTCTCTGGATAAGGGTGAACTACATCTCCCAGATTCCAAAGGCAATCACCCCCAAACCCTGTCAATATTCACAGTTGGCCATGTTGGGTCTGTGGGCCAAGTTTGCTCCAGATCCGACATATGCTGGGTTCAGTGCTCTGGATAAGGGTGAACTACATCTCCCAGATTCCCAAGGCAATCACCCCCAGACCCTGCCAGTATTCGCAGTTGACCATGTTGGGTCTGTGGGCCAAGTTTGGTCCAGATCTGATGTAGGCTGATTTCAGCGTTCTCTGGATGCAGGTGAACTACAACTCCCAAAATCAAGGTCCATTCCCACAAACCCCTGCAATATGTTCCATTGGTCATGGGGCTTCTCTGTGCGAAGTTTGGTCCTGGGAAATTGGCCAATGGACTTCGGGTTGAGTCGCAGACCCAACTCAAAAGGGAGGAAACTCAGCAAGAGAGCACTCACCTCTGATTGCGGGCAATCAATGTGCCAATCTTCTCATTCTGCTCCTCGATGCGACTGCTCTTCTCAAAGACCTCCTGCTTGAGCCGCTCATTCTCCTGAAACACCACCAACAGGAAGCAGGAGAAGACCTTCATTCTGGGGTATTTTCCCCCCAAAAAGATTGCACAGGTATGGTTGGGTGATAGCACCCAGCCTCCCCAGAAAGCAGAAGAAATGTTTGGGGGTTTTTTTTTTTTGGTTGTGTCAGGAGTGACTTGAGAAACTGCAAGTCGCTTCTGGTGTGAGAGAATTGGCAGTCTGCAAACATCCGGGTGCCCAGGGGACGCCCAGATGTTTTGATGTTTTATCATCCTTGTGGGAGGCTTCTCTCATGTCCCCGCATGAGGAGCTGGAGCTGATAGAGGGAGCTCATCCACGCTCTCCCCGGATTCGAACCTGGAACCTGTCGGTCTTCAGTCCTGCCAGCACAGGGGTTTAACCCACTGCGCCACCGGGGGCTCCAGAAGAAATGGTGAAGTGATGGGAACCAAAGTCCAACCAAATCCAGGAACTATAGGAATGCTTCAGCTTTGGCAACGTGACCAAAGAGACTCTATTCTTCCAACCCCTTCGCTCAAGAAACCAACCAGAATGAACCCCGAGGGCAAACCTGACTCACCTGGATGATGCGCTGGATGTTGCTCATGATCATGGCGGTTTCCATGGTCACCGATGAAATGCCCGGCAACAGGTTGTGGCCCATGTTGTGCTTCTGAAGCTCCTCCACCTGCAATGGGGACCAAGAGGCAGGATGTAGGTGAACTGCAACTCCCAAACTCAAGGTCAATGCCCACCAAACCCTTCCAGTATTTTCTGTTGGTCGTGGGAGTTCTGTGTGCCGAGTTTGGTTCAAGTCCATCGTTGGTGGAGTTCGGAATGTTCTTTGATTGTAAGTGAATTATAGATTCCAGCAATTCCAACTCCCAAATGACAAAACCAATCCTCCCCCCAAACCCCATCAGTATTCAAATTTGGGCGTATGGGGTATTTGTGCCAAACTTGGTCCAGTGAATGAAAATACATCCTGCATATAAGATATTTACATTATGATTCATAACAGAAGCAACATTAGAGTTGTGAAGCAGCAACTAAAATAATGTTATGGTTGGGGGTCACCACAACACGAGGAACTGTATTAAGGGGTCGCGGCATTAGGCAAGTTGAAAAACACTGAGTTAGAAGAAGACGTGGCACCCTTCGGTCTGATCAACCAAGGCAGTGTCCAGAAGACTAGACCATTCATTACCTTGGCTGCCAGCTGGTCCATTTTGTCAGCCACCTTCCCCACGGCGAGGCGGATTTCGGTGTTCTGCTGCCGGGACTCCGTCATCAGGAACGAGCCGATGTCTCCAGCTGCTGGGATGCAGAAAAAAGATATACATAAGACAACCTATAAAGCCCTAAATGGTTCGGGCCCCACCTGTCTCCGCAATCGCATCTCCTTCTATGAACCGGCACGAGCTCTAAGATCTTCTGGGAAGGCCCTCCTCTCGGTCCCACTATTGTCTCAAGCGCAGTTGGTGGGACGAGAGAGAGGGCCTTCTCGGTGGTGGCCTCCCGCCTCTGGAACGTCCTTCCAAGGGAAATAAGACAGGCCCTATCTCTCCCCTCCTTTCATAAGAGCTTGAAGACCTGGTGGTTTCAACAAGCCTTGGAAAATGTCCAGTTCTAACTCAGCTCCACACATTGTCGAATGCGGTCTTATACTTCCTAGCAATTACCCAGATTCTTTCCTCTAATCGGCCCCGGAATGAACAGCCACAGACCCATACCTAATATTGTTGTTGCCTGCCATAGCATTGCACTTAATTCCTGGGCCCCCTAGAATTTTGGGGCTTGGATAAATCTTGGCCCGGCCTTTTAAATGTTTAAACTGCTTTGAACAGGCAGGATTACTTTTAATATATGCGTGTTATGGCGCATATATGCTTATATTTTGTTTTGTTAATCTTATGGTTATGTTGTTTTTTACTCTATATGTTTTGTGATGTTACCTGGGAACTGCTCTGAGTCCCCTCGGGGAGATGGAGCGGTATATAAATAAAGTATTATTATTATTATTATTATTATTATTATTATTATTATTATTATGCATATATATTATATACTAGTTGTCCCCTGCCACGCGTTGCTGCGGCCCAGTCTGTTGATCTGGGAAATAAAGTAATGAGAAAGTGTTGGTTTCTAATATATGTAGTTTCTTTCTGCTTGTGGGTAAACAGTATTTGTTGCTGTTTCTTTGTCAGTGTTGATGTGGAGATTGTCTGGTTTGCCCACCCTGGAACATGCAACATATCATTGCCTTTCTTTAAGGGTCCCTTTCAAATCTATGATACTATTTATGTATGTGTGTGAATCATATCTATCTATCTATCTATCTCTATGGCTGGATGGCTCTTTGTCAGGAGGGCTTTGATTACGTTTTCTTGCCCTGGTGAAGGGAGTTGGACTGGATGGCCTTAAGTATTTTCTGTTGGTCATGGGGGTTCTGTGTAGTTTGGCTCTATCATTGGGGGTTCAGAATGCTCTTTGATTGTAGGTGAACTGTAATCCCCGTGACTACAACTCCCAAATGTCAAGGTCTATTTCCCCCAAACTCCTCTGTGTTCATATTTGGGCATTATTGAGTATTCGTGCCAAGTTTGGTCAGATTCATCATTGTTTGAGTCACAGTGCTCTCTGGATGTAGTGAACTACAACTCCCAAACTCAAGGTCAATGCCCACCAAACCCTTCCAGTATTTTCTGTTGGTCATGGGAGTTCTGTGTGCCAAGTTTGGTTCAATTCCACCATTAGTGGAGTTCAGAAGACTCTTTGATTGTAGGTGAACTATAAATCCCAGCAACTACAACTCCCAAATAACAAAATCATAATTTTTTGAGTGATGGTCACTCCTTGTGTTGTGAGACATTTTGTTGCCAAATTTGGTGTGATTTCGTTCATTGGTTCTTTTGTTTTTAAGGTACTCATTATGCACAGAGCATTTTTATATATATAGATAATGCATATAAGTAGTTTTACTGCCATATAGGAGTCTACTCTGACCATATAATGCATATATTATAACTAAATATATATAAATGCTCTGTGCGTAATGAGTACCTTAAAAACAAAAGAACCAATGAACGAAATCACACCAAATTTGGAGCGGTATATAAATAAAGTATTATTATTATTATTGTTATTATTATTATTATTATTATTATTAAGAGAAAGCAAAAGTCATTGGAAGCAATTGCAAACAAAGATATATAGCAAGCAAATGGTATGTCGCGTGATCTGGCTTCAACCCAGGAGATACCTTGGAAAGGTGCCGGGTACATCGCCCCAACCGGCTGGAGTTGAGAAACCGCAGCAGAGGTTTGTGGATAAGCGGCATACGTCATCCCTGCATAGGGCTGAGGAGAAAGGAGAGTAAGGGGACAGCAGTTCCGTTGAGAGAGTAAATGGCACAATTCTGACAGCATCCTCTATCACTGGCATGGACCAACTTCGCTCTAGGTGTTTTGGACACAATTCCTAACAGCGGGTAGGCTGGATGGCCATCTCTGGGGAGGGATTGGATTGTGTCCTCCTTTAGGGCAAAATGGAGATGGACTGGATGGCTCTTGGATCACTTCTTCCAGATCTAAGATTCCAAGATGCTTGGAAGGAAATGGGTTTCATATTGAGTTTCCTACCTGAAAGCTCTGAACTGTCCCAGAAAGTGTTGGATGAGGCTGAAGGGCCGGCGGCATCACAGCAGCGGAGGGGGCCTGGATTGCAGAGACAGATGGCTGAGGCACTGGAAAGAAGCAAGAGATATAATCTATACACATAATAAAAGTGGAAATATGTATGTATGTGTATGACTGGGGTGTCCACTTACAGACAAGCTCCTACCTCCACAAACAGCTATAGCTCCCACTACTCAGGAGACACCAAAGGTCCTCCCTCCAATGGCATTGCAGGTTATAGTGAGCGCCGTAAACATGTCCAAGAGTCCTGCCAATGTCCTCCACAAACACCATCCTGCCCACCACCCAAGTGAAGGCTTTCATATGGGGACAATTTCATTCTAGATTTCATGTGTTTCCTCCACCATAGACATCCCAGTGTTTCTTACTCTCTCCATTGGTGTGGAATTTGCATGACAATATAGTAATACAATATAATAATTGTATATTATATATTACATGTAATATTATTAATAATATTGCAATGTAGTGCTATAATGGAGCCCCCGGTGGCGCAATGGGTTAAAGCAGTCATGCTGGCCACATGACGTTGGAGGTGTCTATGGACAATGCTGGCTCTTCGGCTTAGAAATGGAGATGAGCACCACACCCCAGAATCGGACACGACTGGGGACAACCTTTACCTAGTGGTATAGTACAATACAGTAATATACGATACCAATATTGTGCTATGCTAATAATATAATACATTGTATGTCTATATAATATTGATCATAATATGTGGGAAACTGAGTGACAAATCTCGGAACAAGAAATGTGGCAGAGACAATAGGGATGAAAAGGAATACCCAAGTATGAGAAATGAGGAGGAAAATGTTGCACAAATGGTATTGTACACCCTGCCAATTAGAATACTACTATAAAAAGGGGAGTTGTCGGTGATTTTAATTAAATGATTTTAAAATCTGGGTTGTTATAGGTTTTTTTGGGCTATACGGCCATGTTCTAGAGGCATTCTCTCCTGATGTTTCGCCTGCATCTATGGCAAGCATCCTCAGAGGTAGTGAGGTCTGTTGTAACTAGGAAAATGGGTTTATATATCTGTGGAATGACCAGGGTGGGACAAAGGACTCTTGTCTGCTGCAGCTAGGTGTGAATGTTTCAACTGACCACCTAGGGACATCTAATCGTCTCTCAACAAAAGATTGCCCCAGGCACTGCCAAGCCATCAAATGCTAATCAAGGTGGTCAGTGGACAATGAAAAGAAACCTACCTTGAGCTGTCATCTGAGGAAGGGCTGCTGGAGGGGATGGCTTTAGTGGGGAGGAGGCTGCAGGCTGGGCTGTTCCACGGGAAGTGTTTGGGTCCTGCGAAGGAGGGAATGATAGCGAGGATGGCATTAGTCGATAATTGCACCCCACAGAACAGAACAAAAGAAGCAGTGAGGAAAGGCATACAATATATATGGTCCTGGGGGTGTCTTTCAACTCTAGGATTCTATGACCCCAAATAAACTTTGGGACGACCCTTGGCCATCCTGTGACCATTGTAAATGTCAGTTAAATTGAAGCCAATGTACCTCTACTTCTGAGTCGCTTGAGTCAAGCGCAGCAGGAGCTGTGCCTGGGAGGAAAGGCAGCATGGGTTGCCCCATCTTCGCCATGCGCGAAATCAGCTTCGCCTTTGCCACATCAGGATTCTGGGAGGAAACAGAGAAGAAGAAGGTTGACTGGGGATCATAAATCAGTGACACCATTCTCTTTCTTCTAATACCAAGAGGTCTCCATTTTTCAGGATTCCACTTGACCACATTTGCAAAGCTGGCTCCATTGACGGACTTACCGCTAATTGTTCATTGATTGAGTTGGATTTGGCTCTCAGAGGGGGGTCCCTGAAAAAGAAAAGGAATTAAAGCACCTGAGAGTTAAAGCAGTGGTTCTCAACCTTCCGAATGCCGCAACCCCAGGTTTCGGCGGTGACCAGGGGAGCATTTGCACAGCTAAAGCTTGTGCGCCAGCTGCGCCCGTACCTTGGGAAGTCTGACTTGGCCACGGTAATCCACGCTCTGGTTACATCCCGTTTAGACTACTGCAACGCTCTCTACGTGGGGTTGCCTTTGAAGACAGCTCGGAAGCTCCAACTAGTCCAACGCTCGGCAGCCATGATTTTAACAGGAGCGGAGCGCAGGGAGCATACAACCCCCCTGTTGCGCCAACTCCACTGGCTACCGATCTGCTACCGGGCTGAATTCAAAGTGCTGGCGTTGGCCTTTAAAGCCCTAAACGGTTCCGGCCCAAGCTACCTATCCGACCGCATCTCTGCCTATGAACCCACCAGGACTTTGAGATCTTCCGGGGAGACCCTGCTCTCGATCCCGCCTGCTTCTCAAGCTCGGCTGGCGGGGACGAGAGATAGGGCCTTCTCGGTGGTGGCTCCTCGGCTGTGAACGCCCTTCCTACGGACATTAGACTAGCACCATCTCTAATGGTATTCCGCAAAAAAGTGAAGACCTGGCTGTTTGAGCAGGCGTTCGAATAATTAGTGCAATGATTGGTTAATGAACACTGGAATGGAACAATGGATGACGAATCTGGAACATGTTTTTGATGACGAGACGACAGTGAATGGGTATTGTAGTAACTGTTTATTAATTGTGTAATGTGTTAGGTTGTTAACTGTTTCTATACTGTAGCACTGAATTTTTGCTGTTCGTATTTGTTGTGAACCGCTGTGAGTCGCCTTCGGGCTGAGGACAGCGGTATATAAGTAAGGTAAATAAATAAATAAATAAATATAGTTTCTTATGTTGTAGTGATCCCCAACCATAACATTATTTTCGTTGCTCCTTCATAACTAATTTTGCTACTGTTATGAATCATCATGTAAATATCTGATATGCAGGATGTATTTTTATTCACTGGACCAAATTTGGCACAAAATACCCGATACGCCCAAATTTGAATACTGGAGGGGTTGGGGAGGTTGATTTTGTCATTTGGGAGTTGTAGTTGCTGGGATTTATAGTTCAGCTACAATCCAAGAGTATTCAGAACTCCACCAATGATGGAACTGAACTGAATTGGCACAAAGAACTCCCATAATGAACAGAAAATACAAGAAGGGTTTGGTGGGCATTGACCTTGAGTTTGGGAGTTGTAGTTCATCTACATCCAGAGAGCATTGTGGACTCAAACAATGATGGATCTGGACCAAACTTGGCATGAATACACAATATGCCCAAATGTGAACACTGGTGGAGTTTGGGGAAAATAGACATTTGGGAGTTGTAGTTGTTGGGATTTATAGGTCACCGACAATCAAAGAGCATTCTGAACCCTACCAATGATAGAATTGGGGCAAACTTCCCACACAGAACCCTCCTGCCTTGAAAGGACTCGCTGGTGGCCTCCCTCCAGCTTCACATGCTCACCCTTGCCCTCACATGCACATCACGCTGCCATGCCCAAGGACGCCTGCTCTCCCCGCTTGGAGTCTCAGAAACAGCCCTCCCCTTGGCTGAGAGGCCAGCCAATCACAGTAGAGGGCTTTTGGTGGGAGCATTCCTCTTCTGCTTCCAAACAGGAAGAGGACAGGTAGAGAGATCTTCAGACTTCTCTGCCAAAGGGGTTCCTAAGACTACCAGATATATACATTTTCTGATGGTCTTTGGTGACCCCTATGAAACTTCCTCGTGACCACCCCGGAGCCTTGACCCCCAGGTTGAGAAATGCTGCCCTAGACGGTTTGGCCCCCAGACTATTTGAAAAACCGCATCTCCGTACACAAATCAGCTCAAGCACACAAATAAACACCCAAGCATGCACATACATTGCATACAATCACAGAGGTGGAAGGAACCCCAAAGGCCATCCAGTCCAACCCATTTGCCATGCAGGAACACACAATCAAAGCCCTTTTGACAGATGGCCACCCAGCCTCTGCATAATGAAGTTACATTTAAACATGAAGGGGACAATGCAATCTCAGGATAATAGGATCCAAGTATTCTAGACTGAGGAATGTTTTAAATCTCCCAACATCCTTGGATTTCTCACCCTGGCTTTGGAGGAAGTGAGGAGGGAGGCCCCCCTGTTACATCAGTTGCTGGGTTTTCTGGGCTTGGTGCCGGGGAAGACGCAAGGGAATCCCTGGGTCCCAGGCTCTGTCCGTCAGAACCCGTATCCTTCCCAAGCCTTACCTAAAACAGTAAGAGAATGTTTTGGTGAAGGAAAGCACTGGAATGATCCATGTCACAGGAAGAAAAAGAAACAGTGTCTGGTTTGGAAGGGGAAACTCACCCGTTTGACCTCCACCTCAAAAGCCAGGGTTGAGTCTGGAGGGATGCGATTGGCGACTCCCTGAGCGCCGTAAGCCAACGCCGGAGGGACAACCAGAAAGCGCCGTCCTCCTTTCTTCAAGCCAATCATCCCTTCTTCCCAGGCCTTGGCGGCCAGCAAGGAGAGAACCATATAGATATAACTAAGACAAGTGTTCTAGGACACAACTTACCCAATCAAAATTTATTTCGTATCCCAAAGAAAATGCCGAGGACTCTATTGGAGTGTTTTGAGAGTGAACAAAGCTGCCTCATATCCTTGTTCTCCTTCTCCAACCCTCTTCTTTTCACTGGCCTACTATGTGAGATGCAGAAGTAGGCTTTGGAAATTAACACACAATGGATATATATCAGGCATTTCCACAAATGATCAGCCACTGCCAGAAGGGACAGAGAGTTTCATCTATGCTGATGACTGTGCCATCACTGCTCAAGCAGAGAGCTTTGAAATGGCCAAACACAAGCTCTCTAATAAATAGAGAAAAATAATAAATCCATATAAATAAAAATGTAATGTCCGTTTGTGGGATTAACAAAACTCAAACACCAAATTTGGACAAAATACACCTAACAACCCAATGTATGTCACTTCACTCATAAAAACACCAAAAAAC